TCTTGATCTAGTGGTCTGACTTGATCGTCGGAGGGTCTTTCAGGCACACCACTGCCGAGCAGCTCACCGTTTTTGTGTTGCAGAGATAGACGCCGTCACAAGAAGCTTGACGACTAAGGAGTACAGAGAACAGAGGATATTTCGCCCCCGTACAACATCAAATTTAATTTCCACCACACACCCTACTCGCTTCCAAAAAAAAAAAAAATTGAGCCAGTATTTTTTCTGAATATAAAAAGGCTTAAAATCATGAATGCTCGCAAGTTGGTCTATTTGTCCCTGGTTTTGTTTTATTATCTTGGAAAAATTATAAATTAATTGTAATTTTAAAAAATAATTAAATACACATAAAAAAATTATGACCTTAATAATTAAAGTTTGTTCAATCTATAAAAATATATATATATATATATATATAATTTATCATTGATTTTTTTTTTCCCCCTCAAAATATACGCTGATTTGTTATTCCATATTATCTTTGTTCCCATCACCACTACAATTTATCAAGACATGGACTTTGACGATGAAGAAGTGGATATATGCATATAGGGGTGGGCAACGGTTTATCCGAACCGCTCAAACCGCCCAATCCACCCAACCCGCATATAAATGGGCGGTTTCGCAAACATAATGCGGGCGGATGCGGTTTGAAATATGACAAATTTGCGGATTGCGGGATCACAAATATATAAAATGAATCTAATGCCTAAATTCGATGGGAAAAAAAAACTTAAAAATTAATTTTTAAAGAAAAAAGTGTAAACCGCAAACCGCCCGCAACCGCCCGCACATTTGCAAACCCTATCCGCACAAACCGCAAACCGCACTGCGGGCGGTTGCGGGTTGACTTTTTCCCAAACCGCATAGATGCGGGCGGGTCAAAACCGAACCGCAAACCGCATAAAACCGATCCGCGAACACCCCTATATGCATATGCTAGCATCTGGTTTTATGTAATAATAATGTAACGCGTGGACAAAATGTGCAATAGTTTTTGATTTGTTCATTTTATTTTTTTTAATTATTTAATGTTATATTTAGCTCTGAATGGGAATTTTTTTAAAAAAATATTAACTTTTATTTTGTTCACATTTTCATTTTTTTTTTCCTTCAAAATTCTTACTCAAAACTATTATTTTTAGAAAAATTTTGCAGTTATTTTTTTTTTATTTTTTGAGGAAGTGGGTTATAATCGACTTCCCAAATTATAACCCACTTATTCTCTCACAAAAAAGCTGCTTATAAGTAACTTTTCACTAAAAAATTGATTATAACTATCTTCCCAAAATAGCCCGTTATTGAAATTGCTTGATAAAACTTCAAAAGATATTTACATAAAATGAATTACGTGTTTTATATAAAATACATATTTTTACACTATTAATACGTGAAGGCTATATTGACATAAACATGTTTCATATTTTAAGTTTACCAAAATACTCCTATAATAATTTTTTAAAACCAAAAAAATATAAAATTATATAATGGAGTAAATGGGGTTGAACTCATGATGTTGGGCTTGAAAAATAATCCTTACCACTTTAACAACCCATAACATATAGGGTGTGTTTGATTGGACGGACTGGAAAATGGGGGATTAGAATCCATCGGACTTGAATTCTGGAACTGTGAATCCTCCGGACTATTTGGTCGGATTGGATATGTATCCTGTGTTTGTTTTTTCATGGGATTAGATGTCTGGATAGGATTATTTTCAGTGAATTCAACGTTTGGTTGGACGGACTGGATAGGATAAATGAACAAAAGACTATTTTACCCTTTTTCAATTGTTTACTATGTAATAGCAATATTAAACATATCTTTAATATTTTAATTATTTTTAGTAAACATTAAACATACTAATGGTTAAATTTTGTTTAAAGATATTTAAACATACTAATATTGATAAAAAAAATTTGACTGGTACAGATTATTTTTATTTAAACAAATAAAAATTTATTGTTGAAATTAAACATACTAATGGTTAAATGTTTAAATTTTTATTTAAACAATTAACATTGAAATTATTTTGATGTACAGATTATGTTTAAACAATTAACAAATGTTGATGTAATTAACAATTAACAAATGTAGATGTAATCAAATGTTGACGTATTAAAACATAATTTAATAGATGTTAAATAAATATACATGTTGATGTACAGATGTTGAAATAATTTAATAAACATGTTGATGTACAAATATTTAAATGTTTAAATAAAACATAATTTAAATAAATGAAATTATTTATTGTTGAAATTAAACATTTAATTGTTTAAATAAAACATCTATTAAAACATCTATTAAATTTAAACAATGAAATTAAATAAAACATAAACAAAATTTTAAAATAAAACATCAATAAAATATCTATAAAAAATTAAATAAATAAAACATTAATAAAAAGTTAAATAAAATTATTTTATTTTTAAATTGAGACATTTAAATTTTATTAAATTTTATTAAATATAATACATAATTAAATAGTAGAGGGTCAAAATGGTCATTTTCGCATATAATCCAAACAGTAATTAGTCCCCCACTTTTCTGTCCCACCCCCAGGACAGGATAGTCCCCCATATGGGGGACATGGAGTCCGGCCGGACATGGAGTCCGCCGGACTAAAAAAAAATCAAACGACGGATAAGGTGCACTATTTGGATTACAATCCAAATAGTGGATAGTCCCCCCTCCTAATCCCCCAATCAAACACAATAAAATTAAAATTTATATTTTATAGGTTTAATAGCACACCCATCAAAACACCCACTTAGTGTAATCTGTATATATATATATATATCCTTAGCAATTCTAACAACAATCTTCTCAATACAAGCATTTTATAGGCTGATAAATATATAAATTATCCCAATGCAGACAAGACTAAATTTGTCAATTGGCTTGGATTAGTTAAAATTGTAATTAAAAATACATAATTAAATTAAAATGTTACCGTGAAATAAAGTAACATATTACTGTTTACGTCAGTTTTGATGATATTTTTTTTATTTTTTAAGAATTTTGTAGTTAATATAGATTTTATTTGATAGATATTAGTGAGAAGATTCTAAAAATATTAATTTTATTAAAAATTGACATTTAAATCAAAAGTTATATTATTTTAAAATATTAAATTACTAAACTAAGTATATTTTGGTACTAGTGGCATGTGCTAGACTTAAAGTTTTATCATGAGAGAGCTTGGACCAAATCCCCTTTGAAAAAATAAAAATAAAAATTTTGTTGCATAATTTAACTTAGGGTGACATTAACAATTTTTGATGAATCGAAAAAAGTAAAGAAAAGAAGACCTGATATATTTATGTTTAAATTTAAATTAATGGGTGTGTTTGGTTTGTGTTTGTAGAGGTGATGTTTGGCAAGTGATTTTGTGGCTAAAATAGCCACAAAAGACAAAATGGGTTATTTTAGCCACAACAAACAAAACATCATATTCAACTCATAATCATTACACTCTTTTCTCACAAAAAAAATCAAAAAAGCCAAAAAGTCTTTCCGAAACTAAGCTTTTTAGCCCAGGCTAAAATAGCAAAAAAAAATCAAAAAACCAAAAAGCCAACCCACTTCCCAAACAGAGGCAGAGTAGTTTTTGAGATAAAAATTACGAAAACTTGCTTTGTTTCTCTTTTTTCAGAAATGATTTTGAAAAATTGTTTTAGAAAGAAAGTTTTAAAAAAAATGATTGATTTGATGTGTATGCGAGAGAAAGTGATTTTGGAAAGTAGGTAATCAAACAAAATTTTGAGATATTTTTTGAAAAAATTTGTTTGGTTTGATTACTCTTAAAAATTTATTTGTAAAAAATTTTTCCCAAAAGTTTTTTTTGAAAAACAACCAAACAAGCCCTAAATTTTTTATTCAATTTCTTACTCAAATTTAGGTTTGGATCAGGGATGGTTCCACCTGAGGAGATCTATCGATTCGCTCCTCCGCAGTCCACAGTAAGGTGATCTTTGAACCATTCGATCCAAACGGACGAGTTTAAAAAAGGAAGATCGATTTAGATTGTACGGCCGAGATCAAACGTATCTAATAATTAATTCGAATTGAGCCCACCAAATGAAAAATATCTCTGCCACCAAAAAAAAAAAAAACAAAACAAAAAGTAAAATTACAAACAAACAAGATGAAATTTACTTAAATTATAAATTACTTATTATGATTTTAGAAATTATATTATATTTTTTATAAATTTTAATTTCATAACAAATAAATCTTTTTATTAATCAAGTTAATTAATAATATTTAATAATGTTAAAATTTTATTTTAATTAATAATTTAGATAATTTTATTATTATATAGATAAATAGTTAGAAATTTTATTTTTTAAATTAATTTTGTTAAATAAAAATTTTTGATAGAGAAATATTTATAATTTTTTAAATCACAAAAAATAATTAATATTTTAAACAAATTTTAGAAAAAGATGTGAAAAAAGTAAAGAGGAAATAAAAATTTTGACTTTTTAATATATGATATTAATTTTTTAATAACTTTTTAATTTTTAAAAAGTAATGTTACTAAAGTAGACCTAAGTCTACTTGATTCACTTATAATTTACAAAGTTTGAGATTATAGTTTATACTCATAAAATTGGGTTGGCAAAAATTTTGAGCTCAATTATACTTGGAAAGATGAGTTTGAGGCTTTTTTGGGGCTTTTTTGGAAAGATGAGTTTGAGGCTGGTTTTTTTTTGTTAAAATAGTCATAAAAAATAAAATAGATTATTTTAGCCACAAAAAATAAAACATCACATGTAATCCATAATCATTACAATCATCTTTTACAAAAAAAGTCAAAAAAATTAAAAAATTAAAAAATCCTCCTCACACCAAACTAAAATAATCTAAATTAAAATAATCAAAAAAAAATCAAAAAGTAAAACCACTTCCCAAACGGAGGCTCAATTTGTCAATTAGAATCTTCGTTTTCTCTCTCGTGTCCTTCATTTTGATTAGCGCTTATACCCAATTTTGTTTTCCTCAATCACAGAGAGAGAGAGAGAAAAAACAAAGCACTGTTCATGAAAGAAAAAAAAAGCAGAGCTATAAATGCGAGTCGGTTTATGTGGTTTCTTTTCACCTTCTCTTAACGACTAAGCATACACACAACAAAGTCTCGCTAACCTCTCCTTCTACCCCTTCTTCCTTTTTTTCTTATATATATATATATATAATCGTGTGTGTGTGTGTGTGTGTGTGTGTGTGGGGTATGTGAATATTCACATATACACGCATAAATCTTCCTTGGTTTGCTTGAACTAGGCTCATCTTTGAATCAAACCCACGACCCATTTGTTTGATTTGTAATCGATGGAGGTTTATGGATACCCATCTCATTCTCTGCCTTCCTTGTCCTCTGCATCTCCTTCATTTTCGTTTGGGAATTTGGTCGAAAAGGTTAGAGACTTCTTCGGATTTGCGGTTTCTGCAATTATTGGGAATATATTCTCTGCCATCTTCACCTTCTTCTTCGCATTAGGTGCGTTTATCTTCTTTCATTCCTTCAATTTGTTCATAAATTCTGTGTTTTTGTTTATCAAATTGCAGTCAATTATTACAATGTCTCTGTTCCTTGACCTGGGTTTGCAAAAAATTGGACTTACGTTGTGTTCTTTGGGTCAATCATTAGCCTTACCATAATGTTTGTGGAAGTTGGGGTTTTATAATCCAAGCTTTGTTGACATAGTTCAAATTCTCTTACAAAAATAAAAATTTGGGTTTTAAAGATGAACTGTCATTGTGGAAGAGATTTGCATATGAAAAAATGCTTTGGGGTTTATTGTCACTTTTTATTATTCAAGTTTATGTATAGAATTACAGGAACCCAAGAATTGTTCTTTCAATGTTTAAAACTTGAAATTTATAGTGTGTTGTCTACTGATGAATGAATTGCCTTTTTTATATACAGTGGGTACTTTATTAGGAGCCATGACTGGAGCTTTGATAGGCCAAGAGACCGAGAGCGGGTTCGTACGCGGCGCTGCTGTTGGAGCCATCTCTGGAGCTGTTTTCTCCATTGAGGTTTTTGAATCTTCACTTCTTCTCTGGCAATCAGATGAATCTGGAATTGGCTGTCTGCTTTATCTGGTAATCTTTCTATGTTCTTGCAATTTTTGCCCCTTTCATTATATTGTTCCAATTTAGATTATAAGTTTGTTCTGAATTCCACATATTCAATTGCACTTCTCAACTTTACACCACCTGGAAACTTTTGAATTGTCCAGATTGATGTACTTGCAAGCCTTCTAAGCGGTAGACTTGTCCGAGAGCGAATTGGCCCGGCCATGCTAAGTGCAGTGCAAAGCCAGGTAGGTACCTTGCAACACAATTACAAGATTGTCAAAGCTTGAGTAGCAATGAGGACTCTTTTAACTTTCATTTGCTGACGATTTTGATGTGTTTGTTTAATCAGATGGGTGCTGTTGAACCGAGCTTCGATGACATCCCCAATTTCTTTGATATTGGGGGGTCTAAGGGTTTGCCCGGAGATTCAGTTGAAAAGATCCCAAAGATCAAAATCACTAGCAATAACAATGTCGATACCTCTGGGGAGAAAGTTTCATGTTCAGTATGCCTTCAGGTACTAGGATGATTTATTTATTAATTTTTTTTCATCTAATTGATTCTTGTAGACGTGTACAAATTAGATTACTTGTGAAGAACTTAGTCTAATCAAACAACGTGCATGCATTTTATATGTTCAGGACTTTCAGGTTGGAGAGACTGTTAGAAGTTTGCCTCATTGTCATCACATGTTTCACCTACCTTGCATTGATAAATGGCTGGTGAGACATGGTTCTTGCCCATTATGCAGAAGAGATCTTTAGGTTATTATTTTAATGTAAATTATGGAACAAGAAGAGTTCTTTTATTATTCCTTGTTAGTCCTAGGATTACTCTGTTTTGTTCTTAAAAAAAAAAAAACACTTGGGTATACCTTTTTTTCCTGACAACCTTGTGTAATTAGTTTGAGTGCGTGACATAACATGAGCTGGGTCATTGTATTTTATCATCAGTCTGTATAAAACTTTCCAAGTTTTGGATGAATTTTATTGCCCCTCTTTAATTATTGTTCTGTGTATTGTTTTTGGTTGAATTATTGCTTTTCTTGGAACCGAAATTCTTCTTTGTTCCCTTTGATGTTAGAAAAGAAGCTTTGCTCATTGTCCTTTCTTTCGTTTCTGGAGTCTTTATACCAAATCTATGTTTTGAAACAGACTTCTCAGATTTTCTTGAAGTCGTTTTTTTCAAAACGTGACTTTAAGCCTGAAGTCATTGGGTTTGGGAAATCAGTTCAAAACAACTCATATTTGGAAAATTAGTTTTGAAAAGACATTGGTTTGTTAAATAACTCTCATTTCTGCTTTGGTACTGATTTAGATCCCATTCTAGTTTAATCATATTTCTTGTGCAGCATCAATTTACTTCATGCTGGACTTTTGAGTAACCATTTAAGAGCATCTCCAATGCACTAGGCATATAATATTTGTGAGTTAAAATGCCTAGTGTGATTCACATTTTTCAATTCCAATGCACTAGGCATATGATTAGGCATTTTGGCTCAACTCATATTCACTAGCTACATGTAGCTAGCCTTCAACGCTAGGCAAAATGTATTCAATCATTAGGATCATTTCCCTCCATCTTTATTGTTGACGTGGCATTCTATAAAATTAATAGTATTTGGATAAATAGCTAAAATAAAGAGTATGATTGGAGTAAAAACATAAAACAGTTGATAGGTAAAATAAAATATATACTTTATAGTAATATTTAGATAGATAAAATGCCTACTACCGTTGGAGATGCTCTAACCGCCAAACCAACTGTTTCCTCTGTTACTTGATTAAATTTTTTATAGCACCAAATGCATCCTGTGTAATTTAGGAAATTGTGGAGCCTAAACAGCATCTTCCTTACAGTGTCTGCTTTCTGTTTGTCTGCCTTATTTGGGATTCTCCATTATGTCATCTTCCCCATATTTATGAAAATTATTTTAACCCTGGAACAGTACTAGTCATACTTCCAATAATGGAGACTTGTTATTTGAAAGCTTTTAAAATACAACTCTTGAATCTCAATATTAAAAATCTCAGAGTCCTTTTCCCATCTGCTAGTTAATCCTCCTTTTTAGCTTTTGAATCTCATCTCTAATTACTGAAATCCCTCTCCATCAATCTTTTGGTTATTTTTTTCCTCCCCATCCCATTGTTCAAGGGTCTAAAGAAGCATAGACACTTGGGTGCCATGTTTGTGTCAGACATGTGTCAGATACCTACAGTTAAGTGAATATACATATACATGTCGGACAAAGACGTTGGAATTAGTGTTTTTGTTACATAATGTAATGTTTATATCTTTGACTATAATAAATATATAAAAACGAGTTTTACATGTGTGTTAGGGTTATGTATTTATTAAAAATCATAGTGTCACTCTATTCATATATACTTGCTTCTTAATTAAGAATGAAACTTACGTACTCTATATCAAACTATTCACCACCAGCACTAGAACTGTATATTTGTCTCATTCTTGTTAAAGAATTGACTCTCATTGCCCTAATACCTTTTGCACAATTGCAAACAATATTCCTAGTTTTAAATTTTGTTTATTTTGTCCTCTTTTTCACTTGGTGGCCTAAAAGTAGACCCGAAAGCCTGCAAGGACGGGCGCAAGTACGGAAGCTGCAAGGAGAGGATCCTCACTCCTCTGTTGAATGGAATTCTATGTTTGAATTGTAGCAAAATCTTTAAACAATTTACAATCTACTATTTGAAACCCTAAACCTTAATAGAGCTGGCTTTAAACTATATTTACAATCTACTATTTAGGAAATTGTGAAACCCTAAACTATTTTCAATCTTTAAACTATATTACTGCAAAGCTTTCACCCATATGTTACACAAACAGAATTATGAATTTCTAGGACCACATTGTGGATAATAGAGCTGGTTTGGATGTCTGAATTAACTGAAAGCGCAAGGACTACAAATGTCAGGATGAGGACGACCCATGCTTGATTAGTTGTTTTCCAATGAGACCCACATAGTGTTGTTGGACAGACCATATTTATTAGGAGTAGGATCCTCTATCTCTTTTGTCTTTTTGTATTTTTCTATCACATGATCAGATCTTACTGATAAAAAAACACATTTAAAAATAGGAACAATTCAAAATAATTATATTTTGGTAGATGTGCAAGTAAGTCTCTGGCATTGATCGCAGTTGTTGTTTGTTCTGATTTACACTTTCATGAAAATGCAATTACTTATAATTATTCTCATGTAAACGTAATGTTTCAAAGAAAATTTGAGATAAAGTGACAGGGATGTGTGGAGTATTTATTTGTATTTGGATTTTGAATTTATTGAGGGATTCATTCTTCCCTTCCCTTTCCTTTCCTTCCATTTTTTTAAATTGAAGATCCAAATACAATATTAAAATAATTTTTTTAAAAATGATTTGAATTTGACACCATAGCCTAGGGAGGAAAGGGAAATAAATTCAGGGATTTGTTTAAATTTCTTTTATTGGGTTTATAAATTACAGGGAAAAGAAAACATACAATATAAAGAATTTTGCTAGGGTGAATTACGTTATCCATCGTTATAGTTTGGGACGAGTTTGACTTTGGTGCCTACATTTTCAATTAGGTAAAATTAGATCTTACAATTTTTTTAATTAATTTTGTTTAGGTTTTAGTTGTCAATTCTGGCTAGGGATTTGGATAAAAAGAACATACATTAACATCGTGCCTACTTTTTCTACTATGTGAAGCTTACATAGACATGGTTACTCATGAACATCATGGGAAGCTCACGTGTATATTGAGGCCTCGTTTGGGAACAGGCTAATTTAGTAACTTTTTGACTAATTGACTAAAAAGGTAAGTAAAAAAAACTTGTATGTTTGGGATGACTTTTTGACTAATTACGAAAAGCTGCGCAAAAAGTAGAGAGAAGCCGTAATTGTTGACTTTTTGGTATGACTAATTGGTTAATTGGCTAATTTAGTAACTTTTTGACTAATTGGCTAAAAAAGTAGGTAAAAAAAACTTGTATGTTTGGGATGACTTTTTGACTAATTACGAAAAGCTGTGCAAAAAGTAGAGAGAAGCCGTAATTGTTGACTTTTTGGTATGACTAATTGGAGTTTGGCATGAGGCTTGAGAGCATAAACCTTGGTTCTATATATTAAGAAAAAATGTAAATTACCCATTTTCATAATTGAAAAAATACACAATGTTTTTGTTTCTGCTTCCTTCTTTTTTTAATCTTTTTTATGGTGGTGCAACGTAGGATTTTTTTTTTGTTGGTGTGTGTGTGTGAAAAAATCATAGCAAAAGTTGTGTCTCTTACCTTTTGGTAAATAATTTCCCTACGTCTCACTGCCTTGTAATTTCCTCCGTTACCAATTGCATAACATGATGAAAATTTCAAAATACAATAATGTGAATAAAAATGCATGGGAGATGAAGGAATAAAAAGATATGAATAAAAGATCTCTTACTTGGTAGTAAGAGGATCATGTTAAAGGGGTACAAAACATCAATTTTTTCTTTATCTTTTATGAACAAATTTTTTGTTTGTCTCAAACACTCTTTTCACCCTATGATGTTTCAATTTTCAATTAAAAGTTAAATACTTTAACACATACATAAAAATGGAGACAGAGAATCTGTTTAACTAGACAACAATCATTTTCTTCTCTTATAATAATATTATGAAGATTATTCATTATGTTTGCTTCCAGTTTTTTGAAAATATTTTTCAGAAAATTTTACTTTTTTATTTTCCGTATTTTACTGTTTTTACTGAATTTTTTAAATATTTTAAGCAATTTTTAAAATTTTTAGACACACCTAACATAAATACACTTAAAAAGTATAATTTTCATGAAAAAAAAATATTTAAAAATTCACTAAATGTCAAAAATATTTTTGTGTATTTATTATTTTTTTTAAAAAAAATTCACAAATATTTTACTTTTTAGATACATCTAAGTAATGTGTATTTAAAAAAGTAAAAAAAAAATACTTAAAATTTTAAAAACATTCACTAAAAACAAAAAAATACGAAAAAGAAAAAAATTAATTTTAAAAAAAATTGAATTCAGAACACTGAAACCTAACACACTATTATTATTTTGATTATTGCTATTTAAGATTAAAAAAAAAATTAGATCCATTTTTAAGCCAAATGATGTGATAACCAATTAGGATATTGCAGGTAACTCCCTCTCGAAAAATATATTTTCTAATCGTCAATCAATCATATTACTTCCACATCATTGAATTTAAAAAATTAATCTAAAAAGTGTACTTGTATATCATTTTCTTATTATTTTTTATCTCATATGTCACCATAACATTGATAACTGATAAAAATGATAGAATTTATTAAACTAATACAATAATAACACAACAAATGATAAACAAAACATAATAATATTTTGAGAACATCACATTATGAAACCATTAAGGAAAAAAAAAAACTCTGTATTGTAAACGAAAATCCAACAAAACCATCAAACCCTATGTGGCTTTAGAGCCACCAAATTCAATTCAATAAATACAATACAATCGGGGGGGAGATAGAACTACCACATTGAATGGAGATTGCAATTTCGTGCTATATTTGGACCATGTGTATGAAAAGCACCCAAAATTGGGTGGCCACAACACATCTACTGCTACTACTTTATTGATGAGATACATATCATACCATTTTAGTTTTTCTTTCAATGCTCTTCCTCAAAATAAATGCCATACATTGGACTGACCGTCCATTCAATGCCCAACATTTTATGGTGACCTCTGCCAAGGGATTAGGACCTTTTATTTCTAGATTTTTATTTTTTTTATTTTAAAATATGAGTCAAATTATATATTTATTTTTTTATTTCATATACTTTTTATGCCAAATGTATAAAAAAAAAAATTAATTTCTTAATACGTGTATTAAGAAAAAACGTGAATAAAATTCTTAAATAATTTGTAAATATTGAATTATGTTTCGAGATTATCATATTTTGTTATTCACACAAATTATAACAATTGCAAGTGTTTTAAGACCTAAAAAAAAGATGTAGGGACTGAATTCAAGTTGATGATTTCTATACAAAGAATTTTTCAATTTAACTAGTTAAACTAATCAAAATCTAAGTTGATGAACAATCAAATCCAATGGTTAAATTTTTTTTTTTTTTGGGCAAAAAAAATATTAATAAAATCAGCAAAGGTATAATAAGGTAGAATAAAACAATGAACCGAATTGCATCACAGCTATACAGATATATTCCAACTAAATTGGCACATGAACTTCAAATAAAATCATATGCAAACACCAAGCTAAACAGTTGAATCAAATTGATTCAAATGGTAAGCAATAATCAAGTGTGTGTGTTTTTTTCTTTTTTTTGACATGGCCCTTCAAAGTTTTCATTAAATTTTTAGTGTGGTTAAAAAATAAAAAATATAACCTATGAAATATCGAAATGCTATCAAAAGGGGCGATTACCAATCCGGGCTGGTTGAGGCCCAAAAGGCCTTGCATGTGGTAGGTTGGGCCAACCCTACAATTTCAGTCTCGGTGGCTGCAAACTCTTTTGGGCCTTCAAGAAATACAAATATTCGTTGTTGAATAATTTATTTGCACATTTAACTAGTGATCTTGTTGAAATAGATATATTCACCCGAATCAAACACAATTCTCTCGCATAGAATCAAACCACAAAACCTACTCCTATTGTGATCCGATTGTATACACTTAGAATTTTTAAGCCTCGTTTGGGAACATGTTAATTTAGTAACTTTTTAACTATTTAGTTAAAATATGAGCTAAAAAAAAATAGTATGTTTGGAATGACTTTTTGTGTTTTTACGAAAAGATGTGCAAAAAGTAGATAGAAAAAAGAATCTTTGACTTTTTGGTATGAATTGTTGATTTTTTGACTAATTTAATAACTTTTTAATTTTTTAACTAAAAATGAAAGTTCCTAAACGAGACCTTAGTTAACGTTTGAGTCATGTATTACATGACTCATTATCTTTGTTTATTTTAAAGGCTTCGTTTGGGAAGCCATGATTTGGGCTTTTTTGGTTATTTTAGCCACAAAAAAACAAAATAGGCTATTTTAGCCATAACAAACAAAACATCACATCTAACCCATAATCATTACATTCTTCTCTCACAAAAAAACTCAAAAAAGCCAAAATGCCAAAAAGCCCTTCCTAGACCAAGCTTTTAAGCCCAAACTAAAATAGCTAAAAAAGTCAAAAAGTCAAAAAACCAACTCACTTCAAAAATACTGCTAGAAAGGTCAAAGAACATTAATTTTTCTATGATGATTTTGTTGTACTTTTACCATAGCAAGACATGTGAACAAAATATTTATCCATCTTCAATTTAAAATTGAAATAAAATAACATTAAAATAAAGATAATTTTTTTTTTTTTGGGAAAAATTACAGTTAGTCCCTATACTTTGGCTTATGTCATTTTACTCCCTATAAGTTCAATTGGATCAATTTTGACCATGTACTTTTTGAATTTGTCTCAAATTGGTCTAATTGTTTTCAATTGTTAGCATTTTTTTTTATGATAAATGCGCACATAAGCGGCATGTGTCACATTTTTTGGAGCAAAATTATAAACTTGATCAATGTAGTGACTATTAACCAATTCTATCAAAAACTCTATCAACATCATCAATTGAACCAAATTAAAGCAAAATTTAAAATTAAGGGGCAAAATTGAGCCAATTGAAACTGTAAGGACTAAAATAACATGAAGTAACAAAATGTAGGGTCTACTAGTGTAATTTGTCCTTTTTTTTATATTTAAATTTCAACTTTAAATCTAGACCATTTAATTATTTGTAAAAAAAAAAAATTAATTAATTAGAAAGAGATCCATGATAGGATCGTAATTGCTTAATAGATTATAGCATGAATGTCTGAGAATCTTCCCATGTCATAACAATCCATAACTAATACATTCAAAATCAAGGTACAGATGTTAGTTGTCTTAATAGATAAATAATTATCATGTGATATGATTGAGACTAATTTACAATATACAATCAAAAACTAGCCAATGTAGAGCTTCACTGCTAATATGTACAAGAGTGGACTATTTCTTGTGACAAATGAAGAAATTAATCAATTATTTTAAGATTAATATTATTCTACAAGTAAAAAGGAGGGGAAACATTCAACTAGTGATCCTTAAACATGCAATATTTTAATTAATTGATTGTTGCACAACCGTTTTATATTTGTGCCCAGGAATTGCTCATGTATGGATAGGACATTGATATAATATGTGGAATTTTTGTTTCATATATATATATATATATATTGATGATGGGATGTGTGGACTAGTTTACACAAATCTCAACCAATCTTGAAATTTATACAAAACACCCCATTCACGTGGATCAAGCAAATCTTAGGTAAAGTTCGTGAGCGTGCGTGGCCTCAAAAAATTGATAACACTTAATGAGAGTTGAACTTGAGACCTGAATAAAACACACCCCAAGTCCCAAGTTACACCCATTGTGCCAATCCTTTAAGTTTTTTGTTTGATATATTATCATTCACTACACATAGTTGGAGCTGAGATCATTAGCAAAGACTTTACCCTGAGGTGAAACATTCGGATCCACAGACACGTTAGGAGTTGTGGAACATTTAATTGTGGGAGAACAATGAATAAAATTTATGTTAGGAACACAAAAACAAAGGAGATGATGGAGATAAGAGATTGGGTGAAGAATAAGGCAAAATGGCTAGAGAGAGAATAATGGCAAGGCTCTCCCAGGGATTTCCCACTTTCACTCTCAAGGTTGATAATGGAGAAGGGAAATTAGTTCTTTCCCAAGAGTTAAAAATCTCCAAAATCCATCCCTTGTAAAGCTATGGGTGGGTGCTATTTATAGGCACCTCATGATGTAGGATGGAGCCCATGAGCAAGGCACATGGGGGATATTTTCTCTAACCACCTTGTCCGAGGGGGTGACCTCTCCGAGGAGGTGACTTCTCCGAGGAGGTGACCTCTCCGAAGAGGTGACTTCTCCGAGGATGAGAAAACCCATATTAGAAATAGTTATAAGCGAGATATAGAGAAAGTTGTCCTCCAATTATCACTATATAGAATTATGACTATGTCTATGAGAAAAAAAAAAGAATTACAATATAGAGATAATTGTCCTCTAATTATAAATACATAGATTTAGAATTACAAGTTACAACGGCAAAAATTTTAAAATATCCTTACTTCTGTATTTACATAGTTGAGTAGTTAGTATATTGTACTTATCATTAAGAGAGTTACCAATTAATTGTTATACATGATTTGAAAATTATTGCATATAATTTTAATTTTTACAATATTTTTTCATCCGTAAATATAAGTGAGTGGGTCTCATTGCCTAGTGCCTAATAGGAGAATAAGATAATAAATTGAAGAAAAATACTACAAATAAATTTTACTTAGAAAATTATCTAGAAATATCAAAATATGATTGAGATTCAATTAACACATGGTCTCACAATATACACTCACACTTCAATTCTTGGCACAAATTTGAGAAAATTCCGTAGTCCTAGTCTTAGGCCTATTTTGGGAACCTTCAATTTTAGTAAAAAATTAATAAAATAACTACAAAAAAAATCAACTATTATCTCTATTTTTTTATGTCTTTTTTTTAAGAAGTTAAAAAATCACTAAAAAATCAATTATCAAAACAATCCTTAATCTAAATTGAATTACGTATAGAGCATTGCTCTTGCTATTTACTGTATATGTCATTTTTAAATGGAGCATGTTGCACATCACTTCTTGAGTATGGAGAGCAAAGTTTAAATGAAGAGACATTGATGCATATTCACCACCAAGACGTTTTTTTTTCCCCTCTCCCAAACAGTTTGTTTTAATTTATACGCAGAAACAACAACCCCATCATATTCCTTGGCCATATATGCCGCCCTAAAATTGTGAGACCAAGTCACAATATTCATTACATATCTAATACTCTCTCAATTGACTGCCGGCAACTTATCAGTCTTTTTGTGACTAATTCTCTCTCTCTTTCTCTGTCTCTTGATGGTAGTCAAGTCAAGCAACTTCATGCAAAGAAGAGAGAGGAAGAATTCAAACATGCCTTTGCTTGGTTGATTCTAAGTGATGAAATGCAATGAGAATGGCTAATACACACTACTCAGCAGCAGCAGCAGCAGCAGCAGCAGTAGCACCTTCACCGGCGTCGACACGTAGGCCAATAATACCACTTGAGCCACTACAGATTCGAAATTCAGTTCTAACCCATAACCATCTATGGTGGGGATTTGCTGTTGCCTTCGTTACTCTGTGTGTTGGTGCCCTTTTCTACTTTTGTCTCAAGAGCAACCTCATTTCCAGTTGCAAACAACGTTGGAAGCCACAAGGTAGTGTTGGTATTGTGCATTTTCAATTATTCACCCCAATTTAAAGAGGATTTTTATTTATTTATTTATTTTTATTACACACTTATAACCATTATCTTTTGTATTTGCTATAACATAGTTAATTTGAGCAGACATGGGCACAATCCTAATTTTGAAATAAAGCACTCAAGTTTTGTGTTATATGTGTGTGTGATTATGTAAATTTAATTAAAAGTACTCTCTCTCTCTCTCTCTCTTTCTCTCTCTTCATAAATCTTTTTAAAGAATTCCAAACTTATTGTAAAATTCTTTTTTAACCTTTTTTTTGGGTGAAATAAAACCCAACTCCAATCCATTTTTTCTAAATTATTAAATATAATAAAAAAAATATGATTATTGGGAATTTAGGAATGATTTAGAGGGTTTTTGGGATGATTTAAATAAGTATAATTTTAAAATTTTTACGAAAAAATATATAAAAAAGTAGAAAAGTAATGTGATTCAAAAAAGATAAAAAGATTTTTTTTTTTAAAAAAGTGTACTTTTATAAGAGATGCCAAATAGTGCCTTAGTTCATCTTCAATTTAGTGAAAATATTATCTCTTCTTTGATTCGATAGAGATTCTTAGAGGTAGTTTGGGATGATCTAAATATGTGCACTTTTTGACTTTTTATGAAATATGGATTAGGTTTAGGTTGGGTTTGAAGTAATGTGCTAGAGAGGTGATGTGACTTAAATAGAATAGTGACTTTTTGACTTTTTTCAAACATCCCAAACCAATTGAAGTACACTTTTAGTCAATTTTATTATACAAGTTTGAATTTGATGAAATAATTTTGATAAAGAATTGGTGTTATTAGGGCATCTCCAATCTTTTATTAAATTTGAGTAAAAATTTGGTAAAAAATTTGATCTAACATGATGTACTTCAATAATAAATTTAAAATTTTCATCAGATCTTTTTATAACTCCGGTTGTCTGGGCTTACGTGCGGAAGAATGTCCAAACGGTCATTTGGCAAGAGTGAAAATTGACGTTAAGATAAAAGAAAGTCCGGTTATTTAGGAGAATGTCCAAACATCTGACCTAACAGCCACTTACAAAATTTGATGAAAGAATAAAATATTTGATGAAAATTTAACTCTCCTTTCATTTGATATCGATTTAGTAAAATGGTTGGAGTACCGTTTTAATTAATTTTTGATCAAATTTAAATTTGATAAAGGATTGAAAATGGCTTTATTCCTTATATATTAGATTCAAAATAAAATGAACAGGAAAATTGGATGCGAAGAAAATGATGTTGAGGAGGTTCCAGTTGGAAGAGCTGGAGAAGGCGACCAACAATTTCAGCCAAGAATGTCTGGTGGGTTCTGGTGCATTCGGAAATGTCTACAGAGGCATGTTCGGTGTGGAGGGAACACTCGCAATCAAGAAAGCCCATGCCGATCCCTACATTAGCAAGGACGAATTCAGAAATGGTAATTATATACGAGCCTGTTAAAATTGAAGTATTATTGATTGATTGTATTGATGTTGTGTTTATTCTGTTTACAATGATTCATATATAGAAGAGAAGAAGGTAGTAGGTGAAGGGGTAGTGGAGGTGGTAGGTGGAGTGAGTGTTAGTGGAGGTTTTTGAGAATATCAATGCATAATTGTACTTTTTATGTTGTTTATTAATTTAAAAGAAGGGTAAAATAGGAAATTTATATTATTTTTGTACCTGATTTTTGAAGAGGGACTAATATTTTGGGAGAATGAAAAATGGAATAAGGGACTAATATTTTGAAAGGGATGGAGTATTTAAGATTTGACTGATTTTGATGTAGTTTTCTTGAAACAGAGGTTAGATTACTCTCAAAAGTCAAGCACAGAAACCTGGTTGGTTTGGTGGGGTTCTGTGAAGAACCCGGTATGCAGATTCTTCTTCCCGCTTTTGAATTTTTTTATCTATTATAAAAAGACGTATAAAAAATTAGGGGATAATATAACCCAATAAGTTAATAATGTGGTTTATTTAGCTCTAGCGGTATATAAGACTTGTTTTGGGTACAGTTTATTTTTTTAATTTTTTATTTATTACAAAAAAAATGTAAAAATAAAGAAATGATGTGGTCTAAGTAAGCCAATAAATTACTTATTTTTGTATATTCAAAACAATTGATCACTAACACAACAATTTTGTTTTCTTAATCGGTTTGGTTGGGTTTTATCTTTGAACAGGGCCGAAAGGAGAGAAAATATTAATCTATGAATACGTACCGAACGGTTCTCTACTTGAGTACATTACTGGTAAAGTATTTTGTTTTTTTGTTTTTTGTTTTTAAATAATCGAGTGTTAGGGCCAACTTGTAATTAATGTTAACTTAGGTTTTGTTTGGCATGTGTTAAAATAGTACATGTTGTTTTAACACATTATCATCACAATTATCTTATTTGAGTCACATCACTTCTCTATTACATCATTTCAAATTTAACCCATATTTCACGTTTGTTTATAATAAAAAAAGTTACTAATCTAGTACTTTTCAAACAACCCCTTAGTTTGTTTGAACGAAAAATATTGTAAGGGTGAATTAAAGTAAATCTTTTTAAACTATGGTTTATTAATATTTTGTGTTTGTGAACTTCAAAACTTAGGGATTTAACCAGAATCAAAGCCGCAAGTGTGATGTGTTAAATGGGGCCTCGCAAGTGGGTTATGGGATTGATCTCCTGAGATTAATCGGGGTGCGTTTGAGCTAGTTCGGGTACCCCAATTATCACAAAAAAAAAAAAAAAAGAAAAAGAAAAGAAAGGGTGTGATATATGCTGATTTTGTATAAATTGCTCGCACAATCTTAATGTAAGGGGTAAGCTATAATAAAGTAATACTTTGATGGAATGGGTAAGCAGTAATCAAGTAATACTTTAATTGTTGAGTTTTGAAATTAAGAGAATAGCAAATAACTTGTATAGATGGTTTTCCAATACTAAGAGAATACCGGATTAGGAGTACAAATGAATCATAATTTAATGAGGTTTATTGTAGTTTATCCATATTCCACAAATAATTTTTAATGTGATGTGATTTTTTATCTATACTATTATTAAGTGAATGCCTAAATTGTTTTAGTAAAGTCTTCTTCTCCTCATGCCACGTAATAACTTTATATATGTTAAAATAAAAATATTATTATGCACATCATAAACAAGTTTTGAACTCAAGATCTTTGGTGTCTTTAAGAGTATACTTATCATTTAAGTAACATACATATTATGATGTTAAATTTTTTATTAATTATTTTTATTATTAATTATGTGAATTACACATGTATTACATGTGTCATCCGCTAGTATTAGCGATGCTATTAGTGGTGGTGATAGGTTGGTAGATTGGAAATACATTGTGCGGTTGGTAAAATTGTGATGGAGAAAAAAAAAATTCAAAAGTACAAAAGTTTTGCAGCTTGAACTTATGTTTCATTATTTTTGTTTTCTGTTAAATCAAATGTCAAAAATAAAAAATAAATTAAACAGTGCCCTAGTTAACATTTCTTAATCCATTATAGCTTGTCAATTCTTTTGATTATGGCTGCACAGGAAGGGGAGGGAGGACCTTAAGCTGGAGTGAAAGAGTAAACATTGCCATTGGAGCAGCAAAAGGTAGTTCACATTCACATACTTATTGTTAGTTGTAACTGGTGTTATGCAGGAACAAGAAATAGAAGGTGGTAAACAACATATTAAATATGTTAAAGATTAATAACTAAATATTATGATATTAATTTACATAGATATTTAAATAATAGATTTGATTAATTTCATCTAAAAATGAAGGGTAAGAGTGAAATTCTACAAATATAAGATAAAAAATAAAAAATAAATGAAGTTTAAATTTGAAGATAAACTATAACATTATAGAAAGTGAAAATTAGATAAATCATAGAAAAAGAATAAATTTAATTGGAAATCAAAAGTGAGAGTAGATTTTGTAAATATACGATAAAGATTAAAAAAAAATCAAGTGTAAATTTGAAGATAAAATATAAGAATACAGAAAGAGAAACTTAGATAAATCCTAGAAAAATAAGGTAGAGAGAAATTTAGTAAATATCAAATGAAGATTAGAAAAGAAAAAAAAAATGAAATCTAAAAATTCAAATATAAGATAAGATAAACTTGAAAAACAAAATCTAATATAACTCTAATAATATAAAAACTAGAGAGAGTAGTTGTTTAAAAATTAGATAAGAGAAAATGCCACCTATAATTTTTTAAAATTTGTAAAAAAAAAAAAAAAAAAAAGAAGAACTGTGTTAAGTTAAAAAAAATAAGAGTTAAATGTCATCTATAATTTTTAAAATTTTAAATTTTGTGTAATTAAAAAATAAGCATTTATGTTATCTTATTATATAAATTTTAACTCTATTTTGTGTCTACTACCAATAATTTTTAACATTTTTTGTATTCTAAAGCTATTTAATTACAAAACAAATTCGAGGATCACCTTTTATTTTTTTAAATTTGTTTTGTGTCTATAACGTATAAATTTCAACAACTTTTGTATTTTGAAACTACTAAATTAAAAAAAAAAATAGAATCATAACATCTTAGATAATTTTATTTTTACTTTATGTTATATGTAAATCTAAGGTAAACGCAGCGGATGAAAATTTAATTCTAGTCATACCTTTTCAGCGGAGTCTGAAGTGAAGGTCTTGTAGGTAAATCACGTACTTCTAGGGAGTGAACAACCAGCCCAGCAGTGGACTGATATTACAAAATGAATATCATCCATACAAATCACAGTGCCAAATTGCTTGATCGTTGTTTTTGAGAGAGAGATAATATATAGGAAAAACATAAAACATAGATGTATAGGATAATATCTCATATATCCATATCAGTTGATATGATAGACATGGATATCCTGAGTGGTTATCTAAATAAGTTTTGAATTCAAATTCAAACTTACATGGATAAGGTTCAAAAAGTTCAAAGGGTCATGCCACATGAACGCCCAATTTCTAACAGATAATATAATCATTTATTTTAAATAATAAAGTCTTAGCCATAAAACGCACAAGACATGAATATTTCTCTAACAATGACACATGAATATAAAATTCAACAATCATAGAAAAAAATTTCTTACCTATGATTTTTTGTCTAAATACATAAAAACATATTTATTTAAATTAAAATTTAAAATTTTTATTATTAATATGTAATGTGTTTATAATTTCAACACAAATATAGTTGAATAATAATTTTATTTATAAGAAATTAACTAAACTTTTATTGAAATATTCACATATTGAATTCAGTCTATTTAAAAATCACATGACATTCAATAATGTAATTTAAATTAACTATTAAATAATAATTAAATAAAAAAGCATGCATATTGAGTTTTGTTTTTCGAATGGATCCAAATGACCTTGTCTACAATTGGTTTTATTATATATATATATATATATAAAGAGTATTATGAGTTAAAAACAAAGTAAGTTATTTGCATATTTATTAAGGATTTTGAGATCCAATCTTGTGCTTCAAATGTTCCTTTTTGCAAAGGACTTTTTACTACAAAAACGAAACTTGTCAGTTAAAAACTTAATCCTACTTAATTAGTGTACTCACTGCATATATGCAAAGAAACAAATTTAAACTAATGAAGATCTCAAATAAAAAATAAAAATATAAGCAAAAATATTTTAGTGCTACTACATAATTAAATTTAGTTACATTTGGATTTAAATTGAGTGCCCCCTTATATATTACAACAAAATCGAACACATAAATTAATATAATTGAAAAACAAAATATAATAAAAAATAAATAAGATTGAATAAAAATTTCTTTCAAACTCGTGAGTGTGTTCCAAATACTCATCTCGATTAGTACAATTTTTCTTTAAAAAAAATGGGTGAACTCCTACTGCATCGCAAAACATCACTCTTTGTATTGGTCTTTCAGCCTTTTGTTACCATTGTTACTTTTTTCCCTATACGTTGTAGTTGTTAAATTTAAAAAAAAAAATGAATAATAAATTTTGTAGGTATAAGCGCATCTACTACATTATTATAATTTCAACAACTAACCTAGAATATGAAGAAAAAAAATTAAATATACCAAATAAACTAAAACAAAACAAAAAATCTGCAAAAGAAAAAATAGAGCAAAAAAACATAATATGAGATTTCAAATATATGTTTCTTTTCACATAAGAAAAATCTTGCATAATTGGTTAAATCACCTGTGCAATTTCTTTGCAGGGTTTTTCTATTTTCTAATATTTTTACCTAATTTCATATTGTCATAGAAGTAAGGTTTTGAGATTAATAGTTTATTTTTATTTTTATTTTTATTTTTTGAAATGTCTTTGAGTAGGATATAAATTTGATAAAGGAATTTGAATTAGAGTCAAACTCACCTTTTATCTGTAAATATTTTGAAAAAATCCTATCCATATGATATTATATATATTCATACCCTAAGTAATTAAAAAGTGAAATAAAACATATAAAAAAGAGAAAAATAGGAAAATAGAATGAGAAAAGAATAGATGTGCCACTTAGGAAAGAGTTTAATAAGATGCTAGAATTGAGAATTTAGAGTTTTTTACATTTAATTATATATATAGTATAAATATGCATAACACGTCAACAAACATTGCTAAATTCACGAGAAATTTTTGTATGCCAATAGGGTATCACGTGGCAGTACCTTTCACTAATCACAAATGTATATGTCCACTATTATTTTTCAAATTATTTTCCAAGCACTCAACATAAATGTAGTAGAGCTTAATGTCAAAGTCAATTACAATAGTAGAAGATATCACATAACATGTACCCTATCCGCGTACAAAAATTTCTCCAAATTCACTATTCCAAACTTCAATTTCCCAGGCATAGCTTATTTACATGAAGGCATGAAGCCGAGCATAATTCACCGGGACATAAAACCAAGCAACATCCTAGTAGGAGAGGGATTCGAGGCCAAAGTTTCAGATTTCGGGTTAGTGAAATCAGGTCCAATCGGAGATCAATCGCATGTCAGTAGTCAGATCAAAGGGACACCGGGGTACCTTGACCCTGCCTACTGTTCAAGTTTCCATTTGTCTCCGTTCAGCGATGTTTATAGCTTTGGAGTTATACTTCTGCAACTTGTTACTGCTCGGCCTGCTGTTGAAATAAACAGAAGTCGATCTAATTATCATATTATTGAATGGGTAAGTATAATTAGAGCATGCATAATTGAACAATCTTATAATGACACTGGTTTCATTTTTTTATTTTTTATTTTTTATTATTTAATAATTGAACAATCTTATAATGACACTGGTTTCATTTTTTTATTTTTTATTTTTTATTATTTATATGCATGGAAGTGTGTGGAATCAAGAGTTGCCGAAAAAACGAACACGAAGGCACAAAAATTAGAGAGCTTTTTTGTCTCTGAAGTATTATTAATTTTTTTTTTTTTTAAATGTACAGAAGTGAACACAACCAAAAGTGCAAAACCCTTAGTCTACTAAGCAAAAACCACAAAATGTAATTCATTGCTAATCAAATAAAAATTAAGAAATCAAAAAAAATTATCAACATGACAAATTTAAATTAATTCAAGTTTGGATACTAGAAATTTAAAAAGCATGTCTAACAAATGGCAACTAAATTGAAATTTCCCAGACAACTTAATTGCAAAACAATAAATTAAATTTGTAAAATGATAAAATTCGAAGGCCTAAATATTGAAATATGTCTAAAACGTGTCTTACTACATGACAAGGTATTGAGTTTTGACTGTTGAGCCGTTTCTAATTGAATATGAACCTTTTAGAACTATTCTGCCAACATTTGAGTATTCACTTATTTATTATTTTGTCATCTTGTGATGCAAATGGATTAAATAGGTCTAAACCACTTGGTCTACATTGCATTTCCATGTCATTCAGCTTTTTAAGATAATATTTAATTTATAGCAAATGCAATTCACATATGATAAAACAATGGAAAAGGAATAATTGTTCTTGTTAAAATGCAGGCAAGGCCAAGCTTGGAGCAGGGCAATGTTGAGAACATCATAGATGCAAATCTACTGTCAGAGAATTGCAACATGAGAATGATGGTGAAGATGGGACAACTTGGTCTAAGATGTGTTGTCAAAGTTCCCAAAGACAGGCCTACAATGACTCAAGTATGGCAAGAGCTAGAGGCAGCCCTCCATTCATCGGACAACTTCATTCCCAAGCACCCTTCAAAGGGTCCCACCTTTCCCTCGAGATCAATCGGCCACGGCACGTCTCGTCGATCTATGGATATCAATGACTATTCTCAAAGCTTTGTGAGCATAGATGGTGTGGGACTTCAAAGATTTCATGTGGACATGGATAGCATATCCTTGCATAGCGCAAGCTTGAGATGTTTCGAAACAAGTAGCATAAGCATCGACATCGATAACAACATCTTGAGGGGAATTTGCGAGGAAACAACAAGTGATGATTATTATGAGGATATGGATATCAGCTTGCCAAGGGATTGAATTGATTTTGTTTTGTTTGTGTTTATGGTTTCTATAAAGATAGATTGATGATAAATGTGAATTAGCTTATGTATTTCTGAGTGAGAGGGTTGGACCTATAGAACTTGGACAACTTGTGCTTCAATTGAGGAGCTTTTGATTGTCTACTCTTTTTTTGTTTTTTTCCTCTGGTTTGTTTGGTTAATAAGAAAAATCATTAGCAGCCACAAGTGAAGCACTGACATCCAAATTTGTACACTGAACCTTCAAAAACACATTTGATATACTAAATATGCATCAATTCTTGTAGACTTTGCAACAAAAAATACAAAAATTGAAATTTACGTATCCCGAAACTGAAATGTATCCTGTAAATTTAAACTTAGTTTGGTTTGAACGATTTTAGAATAAATCTGATTCACACACTTTATTTTCAGGCTAATTTTTGTGTACTTTTTCTTAAGCCCGTCCAGTTGCCCTAGCCTACATATGGATTTTTTTTAAATTTGCTACAATTGAACAAGAGAGAGCCATATATAAATACATGTCCAAGTGAGCTCCTTTAAAATCTATACGGCCATGTTTGTTTAGGTGGACATGAGCTTGGGATTGGACTAATAGTCCAATAAAATTATTAATCCGATGTTTGGTTAAACAATTGAAGTACGGACTAATTATTTTAAACTTGACTATTAGTTAAGATAGGATACATAATCCAACGAATTCGTAATCCTAAAACTATTAGTCATGGGAATGCTAATCCAGTCCGCCCAAACAAACATAGCCTACATGTCCAAGTTTCTGAAACCTGGATGCCTAAACCCCTTCCAAACTTCTACTTCTATCTCTTATTATTGACTTGAAAGTTCACCGTTCTCATCCCCTACCTTACTATCTTTACTTTTCACCACAAGTTCAGCATACATCTTCAAAGAAGCCTTGGAAAACTCCATCAACGACTTGAAAACTGAAGAAAATCCTTCCTGAAATCTGCGTAAAGTCAACTGTTGTGTCTCTTGCATGCTCTCACAATGCTTCGCCTTCTCTGCATCGAGCTTCTTCCTCAACACATCCAACTGATCTTTCCTCACCACCAAGCACTCATCCCGATGTTTCACATCCACCTCTGTATTTTTTCCAGAGACCTTAGACTCAAGAATTTTTCCCTCCGCCCTATGGAATGCTAGAACCTTCTTGTCGAGTTCTTTTCTGAGTCCAGCAACCTTCCTCTTCTGGTGCTGCTCCTCTCCTTGTTGGGTACACAATTCCTGGATACACTTCCCAAAGTTTGTCATCGCATGCATTACTGACATGTCGGGTAACTTTTCTAACGAAGTTAACCAACCATGACAAATCACAAATAATGGTGGACCGTTGTTTTGAGATGGCAAAACCGAAGAAGACTTACTACTCCTAGAGTAAAAATCAAATTCCCGAGCATTGAATTTGGATAGCCATCCATCAAGAGCTTTAACATATGCCTTTTGAGCAGAAATGTATTGAGCAAAGCATGAGCGCCAATTTTGAAGTTCTGATTCAAGTTGAACAGTGGCTAGACGGTGAGAATTGTTGGAGAATTTCCCATATGCAGAATAGGTGAAAGATTTTACTTCCAACATGGCTTGTGAGAGGGTAATTTTTGGTGAAAATTGGGCCGAGCTATGAGATGGACTTCATGGCCCAAAGTACGACGGACTGGGTAAAATGGGCCGAGAAGTTACTCCGGCCCAAGAGAAATAAAGTTATTTCGTCACAGGAATTGTGAAGCTACTTCGATTTGGACGACTTGGAGTTAGTCCGGTCTCCAAGTTAGTCCGGTCTCCAAGTTAATCCGGTCATGACGTATTCTGGATAGATCGGTCAAGGCCTTGCTGCTCGGTAGCTTGGTCCCAACATATCATGATTCATGCAAAGGAGAACCGAAATGAGAAGTAAAAGGAAGGACCGAACTAAGGATAGTTCGGCCTACTTTGTGGCTCAGCATGGCCAGTTTTACTTCGGTCAATTGGTAGTTCGACCGCGGTAAAAACCATCCCACTTGGTTTAAGCAGTGGGGGGGTGTAAAAGGATAAGCATTATCCTTTAGAAGTATGAATCCTAGGAGGACTCTGCATGGAGGAATAAAAGTCCTACTAGGATTGTGCCACACGAAACCTATAAAAGCTCACAAGCATCACCTTGGAGGAGGTAACATAACACAACATACAATTTTGCTTTCTGAATACATTGAGCTTTGTCTATTTGTCAAGTTTTCTGACTTAGGCATCGGAGAGGTTTCCGGCACACACCCGCCGGCTAGCTCACGTTTGTGTTTTCAGACGACAAAGCGACACATAGGATTATCCAAGAAACACAATTACTTGAAAACACAATGTGCACAACCTTTAGAAGATTCCTCATGAAAGAATGTAATGCAGCATGTGAAAAGCATAGATCCCATGATAAAAGTGTGTGTGTGACTCTTGGAGTTCGACAAACACTAAATTCAAATCCTAGTAGTAATCTGATAGTTGGACCTCCGACAAGAGAATCTAACCACAACTTAGGAAAGTCAAACCAATAGGAATCAAGGAGTATTTGTTGAGAAAATGCGGAGGCTCCCCCTCAATCGATGAATCAATTTTTTTTATTTTTTTTAAAGTTTTCTTTCTTTCTTTCTTTTGCGTACTCATTGGCGGCTTTCCTGCTCAAGAGTATGGAAATTGAACCAGAGAAGCATGAGTACAACAAGGATAGCCTGGTTGGTGACTTTGAGGTAGCCTTTTCCTCATGGAGATGCAAAAAGATAGAAGGTGGTTAAAAAAGAAGTGGCGACAGGAGAGGGGCGCAAAAACAAGACGCCCCCTCGCCACTCAGAAAATCGTAGTAGGAATACTACACCCTCACAAGGAGAGAGTAGAAGCCTCAGGACAGGCGATACTCAATCATGGTCTTCCAGAACTCGTCACTCCAGGTCTGAGAGGACGAAGTCTGAAAGATCATACACTGAAGGAAGCACATACTGGCCCTCTCATTCGCATCAAACTAGATCTAGACAGACGGAATTACCCAGATCATCCGACTCACGAACCGTGCTCGAAGAAAAAGCACGATGCAAGGAAGATACCAGGGCGCGGGATCCGCACAGAGTTTCTGCCTTACAGCGGTTGGCTCCTCGGACGCATGGAAGCGTCGAGGTTAGAATGCCAATACCGCGCCCAGCCTACGAACCAACGGACAAAGCATTAGCAAGACTACAGACTTCGCCGTTTGTTCCAGCAAACGAAAACGCGCCCCTACCGTCAGGCTTCCTTCAGCCGAAATTCACTACATATGAAGGGAAGACGGATCCCTACTCACACTTAAGCCATTTTCGCCAAGTCATGGCTGTATACAGGCGAAACGAGGCCTTAATGTGCATACTCTTCCCATCAAGTCTTGGCGACCTCGGCTTAACTTGGTTCGAGAAACTTCCTGAGGGCAGCATAGCCTCTTGGGCGCAATTGGCAGAAGCGTTCGTAACAAGGTTCCGAACGAACACTAAATCGTAACAAGGTTCCGAACGAACACTAAAACCCCGGTAGAGATCGACCAGCTACTCTCCATCGACATGGGCGAAAAAGAGACCCTAAGATTCTACAACAGTCGCTACTGGGAGACATTCAATTAGATAGGGGACTGCCCCACCAATCTCGCCATTGCACAATATAAAAGAGGCCTTCCAGTTGGGAACAGACTGAGGGACTCGATCACCATGACACCACCCCTCACAATGGAAGCCCTAATGAAGAGGGTACACCAACACATTCACATCAGGGTAGAAGAGGATGGCGCACGAGCAAAAGAAAAATCTAGTGCGACCGCAGTACCAGAAAAAAAGACCTCAGCAAAGGTCAATACAGTAGATCGTCAGAGCAAAAACGGCCGTGGCAGACGAGATAACGGAGAAGACCCGGATAAAAGATGGTTGAGAATCCGCACTGCCATAACCACGGTGTTCAAGAAACCGATATATCGGATTCTTAGCGAAATAAGAGATGAGCCTTTCGTCAAATGGCCAGCCAAGCTAGGAGAAGCCCAGAAAGACTATGACGAAAGATCGCGGTGCACTTTCCACAAAGAAAAGGGACACCGCACGGAGAATTGCACACCATTGAGACAACACCTGGAAGAGTTAGTGGCAGCGGGCCACTTGGACAAATACATTGAAGGAGGGACGCAACCAGCCCCCCAGGATCACAATAACCCCAACGGAATGCCAATCGATGCCCCACCTCAAGGCATTATCAATGTAATACATGGAGTCTTTGAACCTGAGCGTGTATGCGAGCTCAGGGGATCAATCAAGAAGGCTGAACACTTTAGAGAGGTGTTAAGTGCCCAACCTGCCATCAAGAAGGGAAAGACAGAGGCAACAAACGTCATGTCTTTTTCAGATAAGGACCTGGATCGAATATACTGTCCTCACAATGATGCTCTGGTCGTCACTTTCTGAGTCAAGAATTTTGACGTCAAGCGGATTCTGATTGACCAGGGTAGTTCATGTGAGATCATGTACTACGAAACATTCAAACAACTGAAGCTACAAGACAAAGACTTGGCGCCCGCCGTATCTCCCTTAATTGGATTCAACTCCATGCCAGAATGGCCCGTTGGCAAGATAATTCTTCCGGTCAGAGCAGGAAGCGTAACAAAACAAGTGGAGTTCTGGGTATTGAAGGTCCCCTCCACTTACAACATCATCTTGGGCAGAACCTGGCTGCACGCCATGGGTTTGGTGGCGTCATCTTACCACCAGGTAATGCGGTTCCCCAACGACACCGGTATAATTGAAGAAGTCTATGGAGATCAGATCATGTCAAAACAATGTTTCGCCACGATAAATGGCAGTCGCGCTGCCAAAGGATACGTTCATTCGGTGGAGGAACCTGAAAGCAATGAACTATTCGCAGACGTCGGCAAAGAGGCTGATCAAAAAGCGGTGGAGGACTTGGTGGAGGTAAAAATAGATGAGAAGAACCCGGATAAGTTCTTCTTGCTTGGCTCATCATTGTCCAGCACTGAGAGATTAGAGGTCTTGGAATTGGACGCCCTACGACATGCCAGGCATTGATCCAAACTTCATCAATCACCAACTCAATGTCCACCCATCCGCCCGACCGGTCATTCAGCGCACACGCAGATCGACACTCCAACACGCCGAAATAGTGGCGGAAGAAGTAGGCAACCTACTGGAAGCAGGAGTAATTAAAGAAGTGCACTACCCAAGATGGATCTCCAACACAGTCGTAGTGCCAAAGAAAAATGGCAAATGGCGAGTCTGCGTCGACTACAAAACAGTCAACAAGGCGTGCCCAAAAGACAGCTTTCCTCTACCGCGGATAGATCAACTAGTGGATCTAATGGCGGGGCACAACCGACTTAGCTTTCTGGATGCATATAGAGGCTATCACCAAATCGCCATGCATGAACCAGACCAGGAGGTCACATCTTTTACAACTCCAGGAGGATTATACTGTTACAAGGTCATGCCCTTTGGCCTGAAGAACGCAGGGGCAATATTCCAACGGATGGTCACCAAGATGTTTGAACCATTGTTAGGCAGAACAATGGAAGCTTACATCGACGACATGGTGGTCAAAAGCAAGGATGAGAATGACCATCTTAAGGACTTAGGCGAGATGTTCCAGATCCTGAAGAAACACAAGTTGCGCCTCAATGCGTCCAAGTGTGCATTCGGAGTAGGATCTGGCAAATTCCTGGGCTTCCTCGTAACCAACCAAGGTATAGAGGCAGACCCCTCTCAAATCAAGGGAATCCAAGATCTGGAGAGACCAAACTCAGTAAAAGAAGTGCAGCATCTCACCGACATGGCAGCTGCACTCAACCAGTTCATAAGCAGGTCGTCAGACAGACTACGACCATTTTTTCATGCCTTAAAAACCAAGTTTGAATGGGATGAAGAATGCGACCAAGCTCTGAAAAGCTTGAAGGAGTATATGTCTTCCCCACCACTGCTCGTTACCCAGTACCTGGTAAAGAACTCTTCTTGTATCTGGCAGTCTCTCAGCACGCAGTTAGCGCAGTGTTGGTTCGTGCACGAGGAATTCAACACTTGCCCATCTATTATGTCAGCAAGACATTGCTGGGAGCCGAAACAAGGTATTTGCCACTAGAAAAATTGGCATTAGCCTTAATGATGGCCTCCAGAAAATTGGCACACTACTTTCACGCCCACACCATAGTCGTCCTCACAGCTTTCCCACTAAAAGCTTTGTTTGAGAGGGTAAACTTTTCTGGGCAAATTTTGAAGTGGGCAGTAGAGTTGGGACAATTCGACATCAAGTTCCAACCCAGGACCGCAATAAAAGCCCAATCTTTGGCAGACTTTGACGCAGAGTTTACTCCTGGAAGTCATCATATCTGCCCAGTCGACCTAACTGACACAACCGAACTAGGGACGGAAGTTGACGCCGAAATAACGCAACCCCTAGTAGAAGGTACTCAGTCAAACTCCAAGGCAGACCAGACTAAGGACAACAAGGAAGAAACGAACCAAGGCTCACCAACAGTACAATCAGATGGCGAGGGGCAAACAGCAAGCATAGACCTTGAAGAAAACACCATTCTTGAGCCCACGACATCATCTGACCCCTCCACGTGCTGGAAGTTGTTCGTTGGAGAGATGTGGAAGCTCTTTGTGGACGGAGCATCCAACCGGCATGGAGCAGGGCTTGGCATAGTCCTCATCTCCCCAGACGGCCTGGTTGT